TCGCTCTGCAGAAAAGGTCTTTGGTTCTCAGCCTAATGTGGGGTATCACTTCTGATCCCTCCTCTCTCCCTTTTCTTCTTCTTCTTCTTCTCTTCTTCTTCTTCTTCTTCTTCTTCTTCTTCTTCTTCTTCTTCCTCCTCCTCCTCCTCCTCCTTCTCTCTCTCTCTCTCTCTCTCTCTCTCTCTCTCTCTCTCTGTCACACACACACACACACATACACACACACACACACACACACACACACACACACACACACACACACTACAATGCCCTGAACAATGACCTCTGTTTAGCACAGACCAGGAGATTCCCATAGGGCAAAGTGAACTTGGCTATTTTGTCAGTCCCTCTGTTTCCCTCAACTTTTGACTTGTTAACCTCTTTCTTTATTACCAATTCTTTGATGCTTTTTACAAAGATGTTTGCAATATTTTATTTTTAAAAATTTTAGTGGAAGTTGGATTGGATGCTTAGCTCACGTGACAATTTCTCCCAATAATGTAGTGAATATTAAAAATTGGGCATTTTCCCCATAGACTTTCAGTTCTGCCCCAGAAGCCTCTCAATATATTGGAGTTGACACATGCTCTGATGTCTGTTTGGAATTCCTGAACTAGTAGGAAAGGGTTCCATGTCTCTAGCTAGTAGGTGACTAACCACCCAGTTTTCCCAGGACTGAGAGATTTCCTGGGATGTAGGACTCTCAGTGCTAAGGACTAGAAGAGTCCTGAACAAACTGGGATGAGTTAGTCACCCTAGCAACCATTGTTGGTTGTTGCTTTCATCACTAAGTGTAGGTGTAAGTAATCCACCTCTGTCTTCTTTAAGGAAGGGCAGAACCTTCACACATCACTAATGGAAACAGATAAACCTGTGGCCTGTTTTGCCCCTCTTCTTCCTCATTCTTTTCGTTGGTCAGTTAGGTGCTCAGTGGGACTAACATAAGACACCTGCTGATACTATGGCCTTCTCAGGGCTCCTTTGTTGAGAAAGACATTTCCCTGACCAGGCTCCTCCTACTGCAACAGTGCACTGGATAGCCCAACTTCCCTCTAAATGTATTTCTAGGCCAGAGGTGGGGCCCCTCTCCTGCAAAGCATCCTACTCAACTCATCTCTTGGTGGAGTAATCAGACAAAAGGAGTGTGTCCTCTCTGTTAATCCTCTTCTAAGTTTTTAATCAGTAAATTTGATTCCTTCACCACGTCTTAGTGGTATGCACACTTGTGCCCTTGATAACCGTCCAGAAACATAACAGCACAAAACTACTCAGTGCCCACAGTAAGCAGTTTGCCCAACATTGTAAGAGACAAATGAAAATGTGAAGATCTAAATTATTTTCATAATATTAAGATATAATTACCTTTTTCACTCTGATCATCTTCTAACTTTTTCAGAATCTATGTGATACTTATCACAGAGAATTCAGAAGCAGATAGGAAGAACCAGCTGTCTTCAGAGAAGCCAGCTATTTAAAAAATTTGCAAAACCATAAGATAATGCCACTGTTATCAAACATTTTCTGTTTTGGAAAAGAGTTTTGGTAAACAATATGCCATTTATGTTAGCATGTAAATGGTTTATTGTTATTTTTAAATGATTTATCAATCATTTGTTTCACTTTAATTTTATATACAGTAAATATCAATAAATAATACTATTTAAGTCCAGTCTTCCTTGTGCCTCAATAATTTTTTGGTTTTGTTTTTTGAGATGGGCTCTTGCTACACAGCCTTGAACTCATGATTCTCCTGTCTCAGTTGCAAGTGCTGGGATTATGGGTAAGTACCACCACTCCTGGCTATGTTTCAATAATTTCTTAACATTGTAAAGGAATATGAGACCAAAAAAGTTGAGAGCCACTGGACTGGGACCTAGAAAACACTGGAAACCACACTAATTATCTTGCATGTTGTGTAACTGTGTCAAGCCTGGAGCTCAATAAACTTCTAAACAACAAGCAGCATTCCCAGCTTATTAAACTGTACATACTTCAAACCATTGTGTGGGGTAAGCCATAATTAACTAATCGTTCTTGTTAATCCTTCATTTACTATACCAAATATTTATGGAGCATCTTCTTCATGGCACCCACCATGTAAGGTTTTGGAGGTACAGTTGCAAACTACCTTCAAGCAGCCTGCTGGCTGGAAAAGACAAGTTCACTGCCATCTCTCCAAAGTGTGGTAAGAGCCAAGAGAGAGAACCAGGTGCTATGTGGATCTGAGGTTGGACCCCTTGTTCAGGCTGGGAGAGTTGTGGAGGAGGGGATTTTTCTAGAGAAAGTGGCATCTGACTTCTCACATGAGGGGGTTAACCAATGTCAACCAAGAGGGGTGCTTCAGCAGAGACAAAGCAGTACTTAAGGCATCTTGATCCATCTTACCTCCTGATGGATGGTAAGTAGAAAATTGTCTGCTGACTTCAGATAGCGTGCACTGCTCCAAGTCTGGGGGCTTCGTTCTGATGAATTCTGAACACCACCTGCTCAAGCAAGCCCTTCCTTTCACAGGACCTGTACCCACTTTCTTGACTTTATAAGTAGATGGTGCAGGCTGACTTCGTGGAGAACATTTGGCTAACCAGTAGGCAAGGACTCACTGAGAATGAACCAGGGACTACATGGACAAGACAACTTGCTCCTCTGCCTTCCATGGCATACAGAGATGCAGTCACACTTGACCTCTACTCTTTTTATGTTAGTGTTCATTGACAGCCACTATTCCTAGAACTTTGATGTTGATGCAGTCTTGTGCAGATCACTGGCAACATTCATTTCCCAGCTGGATTGTCCAACACTGCCACATCACATGCAATAGGACTGGACAGACTTGAAGTGTGACTTGCAAGGAACTCAAACATTAGAACACAGTTATGGGATCAGGCACACTGCAGAGGTAACAGTGCTGTGTCCCCAGCATGGGGCTAGAGCAAGCCCTACAGCTCCTTCCTATTTTGAGTCTGGATTGTTTCAAGTAATCGTATGTATTGGGATGAAGCACATGGAAATTAGGTCAGAAAAAGATTTCAATCACGGTACTTTTCTAATAATGACCGCTGTCCCTCTTTTGTTAATTTAAAATAAACAAAGGAATCATTGGAAGATAAATTATTTCATATGCTTCTCCAGAAGACAATCTAGGGATGCAGTCACTCCACATGCTATGGCTTGAATATGAAGTGTCCTCTACCCCTGCGAAAAAGAAAGACCCGTGTATTGAAGACTTGGTCCTCAACTGGTGGATTCAATTATTGAGAGGTAACTGGATCATGAGGGCTCTGACCTAATGAAGAACAGAACAAAAGCCTTTCAATGAGAAAGTTTTTAAGTTTTTCCAAAATGATTGCAGTCAGCAACACCTTTTCCCACTTCTTTTCAGCACAGTTACAAATCCAAGTTTATGGAAAAAGCAGAATAGTATGAAACAAAGGAGCTCAAACAGAAACAAAGCCAGCCTTCCTCCCAGTGCACAATGCGTTGGGGGAGAGGGGCCTACAAGCAGTGACCTCGCAGGTATGCCATGAGACCTTGGCTAGAAGGACCGTCAGCTCAGTACTTCTACTGAAGATGTGAACCCCTAAAGTAGATCTAAGCACCCTGAAGGCTCTTGTGCTATGTGGGTTTATGACATTGGCTCTTGCTGCTTGGCAACAAGCTTGGAGCTCAATTAACTTCTAAACAACAAAATATTGGTTCCCTTGTGGGTAGTACAATTGCACCCGTTAAATGCTTACAGTTGAAAAATAACAAAAAAGGAGGTAAAGTAATTCAAAGGCATGGGGTGTATTCCTGATATGGGCACACATTCACTGAGTAGTTTGATCTCTTTTTGATTGTTGCTAATGAACTAACAATATAACATTTGCTTTTTGTTCTATAAAAACACTTTAATTTTAATGACAATATGCACATTTACTTGTTTGTTTTTGGAAGGAGAGTCTAGACTTTGCAGGACTGACAGAGAAAGGTGGATGATGGAGGAAGAAGAAATCTACCAAGTAGACTCAAATAATGGAGACTGTTTTTACATGCCAGGTATTTAAAAGTGAAGGGTTCCAAATAACACATTTGTTAGCACATGTTTTTTTTTTTTGTGAATAGCTGACCATGCTTTTTTTTCCCCCCTTGCCTGCATTCCCAAGTTGGCTTCATAGAAGGCTTTATTGTAATCCAGTAGCATTGTTTTATATTAATTTCTATGACAAGGAACCCAAAACACAGGGGGCTGAGAGTAACAAAACAGAGTTAGGGAAACAGTCATGACTTGGCACAAAGTGTGACAAGCTGTAAAAAAGCGAATGTTTCAATATCTGAAGTGGTGTGGATTTCCTGTGAACAACCTTTTCTCTTCAAACAGTATCATATTCTTTTCAAGCACATTTAGGACGCAAGTCAAGCTGTGTTTTATTTTTTATTATAATAAACACAGTCAGTTTACTGTAACAAAGACATACTAGTGGCAATCAGCTGAAAGCCCAAGTATAGCACTATGAGCTGGGTGGGGTGGGGGTCTGGGGGTGGGGAGTCAACTGATAAATAAAAGACCAGCCGTCTGGAAAGTTCTCTTACAAGAACATAAAAAGGCAGTGTTTTCTTATGAGACTAACACAGAATGCCAAAATATCTAGCTGGGCTTCTTTTTTTGTTGTCATTTATGGCAATTTATAACTAAAAATAGCAAATCTTTCCAAATATTGAATTCTCATACTTGGTTTTAGATTTCCAAAATAAAATGAAAATATTTTGTATAGTATTTTAAGTAGTAATATGACTTCTTATGTAACAGTCTATTACCCTGTATGTATATTTATTAGACTACTACTCAAAGTGTTTTCTCAATTCTTTTAGAAAATGTTTAAAATTACATGTGTACTTAGATTTTTAATAAAGGTGAAAGGAATCACTTCACAGTAAAGTTACAAATAAAGTGTATAAACTTCCATGATTAAATTAGATTCTTGAATTCAAATTCATTAGGAAAAAAACATAAGTAATCTTACCAGATCTTGAACCAGTGCTTTTTCACAATCAAGTTCATATATTAATCTGTCTCTACCACCCATTAACTGAAAAAGAGAATATTACATTTGATTAAAGATAAGAACAGAACACCTGAAATCCCTTCTCCATAGAATTTGGTAAAACAAATGTCAATATAAGAAAAATGGGTACCAATATGGTCAAAGGAAAAAATTGAATTCCTGCAGATTATAATAATAAAAATAAAATAAATAGACAAGCAAACATACTTAGGAAATACCAATGTATTTACAGCCTTCCTAACCCACTCCCAAAATGTGACATCAGTATGTAATAAAGCAAGTCTTAGTCTGTCGCAAAGAGCAATTTTGCTTTACTTTATATATGACTTGTTCTCTTATTTTAGGTTTTTGTACTATATTTATGTACATTAAACCGTATTCATACTTATTGAAGATAGTCAGCAAAGGCAGTATTTTATTATTGTACTCATGTGACTTGTCTTAATTGTTTAAATGATTATTATAAAATTTAACTCTCGATCTAGGCATCCATTTAACTCAACTGATTAATTATTTATTAACTTAATAAACATCCTTAATGTCACTGTCCTTCATTGTCTCAGGACTTTATACTTTCCCTGGTTTATCTAAAATGGTTTCTGGCTCCACATTTTCCCCTCTCCCATTCATTTTCTCACCACCAAGTTCAAGGTTCTTCAATACACCCAGCAGGTAATTCAGCCCCTTGGCATGAGGACTGATCCTCTCTGATTGTGCCCTGAGCCTTGCTTTCACATATCTTTCAGCTACAGCAAACCACACATCCTTCCCTGTAACAGTTGCTTTCCATGGTACTTGGATACTCTTCCCTGCTCTTCCTCATCCCTTTCCAGGCCAACTCTCACCTCTCTTCTGGGAGTCAGCTCAGTGCCTTTCTTCCAGCCCTCCCTGATGCCTTACATTCCAGGCTGTGCATGCCTCCCATGTGCAGTACCTATGTCTCACACCTATACCGTAATCCTGACTCCTCATTTGCCTCCTACTAGAACAAAATTTACAACAATGAACTGCAGTGTGGGAACAGCTAGAAGACACAAATACCCTACTATTCAATTATTAGAATTAAAACACAAAAGCTACTGATTTCCACAGTGGATGGTGCCTAGCCCAGATGGATGGCAAGAGGTCAGTTTGCTCCAATTCAGTCTTATTTTCAACCTGTTTATTATTATTATTACTATTATTATTATTATTATTATATCCAGAGCTATAAAAAAAAAAGGGAGAGGGAACACATGGCTTATCCAAAGGGCTTTGTAGTTACTCCTTTCCATCCTTCTGCTACCCTTCCCCAGACCTCAATCTTCCCCTTATTCCTGTCCCACCAGAAATTCTCACCCTGTGGTCTCATCAGACTCCAATTTCATTCTCCAGACATCCCAGATTACAAACCTCACACTATGTGTACTCACATAGAGTACACAGCTCTTTTACCTCCTGGAGTGAACCTCCCCCAGAGAAGAATTTGAGAGAAGGTGGGACAGTGGATGAAGACTTTCTAGAACCTTCTAAATGAAGCCAGTGTCTCTTCTCTATGTGCATACCTCTAATATAGTTCCCACCACACTGCATCTGGTTTTTGTCTACCTCTCTAGACTTGATATTTTTCACAGCAGAGGCCATATGGATAGACACACTTTATTTTTCTAGCAGTACACAGTGCTTAAAATCACTTAACAAACATTGCTGAATTAATTTAGTGAAGGATATTGGAAAACAACCAGCAAATACCAACTCTCCTTTGTTCAACAACATCTAATCTGCTTTTCAGCTGATAAACCTCCTTCCTAAACATGAGTGTCTACTATCCACACAGAAGACCTGGGAGAAACAAGGAGGGTAAGAGAATGACCCAAGGAGACACAGTGGCAGAAATGGATTAAGGACCTAGGGTTCTAGATTTTTTCTGCTTTCCATAAAACTGCATCTATATTTCATGTCTGCATGGAATTTCAGATTATGTTAAGAAAAAAGGGAAGAGAGACAGGATTTTCAAAATATGAAGAAGATCAGGATCTGTTATTTTGCTTAGAATAGCTGTCAAGTAGAAAATATAAAGTGAGTCATGTACTTAATTTTGTATTTTACAGTAGCTTTGTTAAAGGTAAAAAATATAAAAGTAATTTTACTGACACATTTTACTTATTCTAATATATATTCAATATATGTTTCAATGGGTAATCAGTATTGAAAATGATTAGGGAGATTGTTTATATTTTTTTACACCTTAAATACACTTACCTTATAAGTGTACTTTTCACTTACATTACATTAAGTGTACATGTCTTAATTTGAAAGCTAAATTTCTATCTGTATTTCAAAAATGTTGAGATTTCAAAAAATTTGCAGATGAAAAAGTAGATTTGCATACCCCAGTTATTGAAAATATTCATAAAGGTTTTCCATTAATGGAAACAAGTACCAAATTTTTCCATTCAAGCTTAAAATAATTTAAAATTCACTTCTTTATTTGTATCTCAAGTGTTCAGTTGTCATGTGTGGCCAGTGGCCACCCCTGGGCAGTGCAGATAAGGGAGGTAGCAGGTAACTGACATAGTTAAGCACACACAGGGTACAACCAGTCACCCAGCGGCCCATTTCTTTCCAGTTGGTGACTCACAGTGAAATTTTTTACTTTAACATCTTATCATCCTCCTCATAGACTAGGAAGCCTATGTAACTTAATTTCACCATTGCTTCTGTAGACCAAACAGCTTTAGAAACATTAGACATAAAGTAGGGATCCATCCCTGGCAGCATAAGTGAAGCTGGAAAGCTGAGATTTCATTTTTATCTTGAGAAGTTGATTCCCAAAACTTTGGTCTCTGTTTAGAGAGTCTGTGGTTATCTCTGTAACAATGGCATTCTTGTTACCATTATAAGTGGGGTGAAATTATTTTGTGAAGTCCTGTGTAGGATTTAGCAATCAGAAAAAAAAAAATCTTCCAACTCTGCCGAATCAGGCTAACCATTTCTTTAATAACAGTTCTTGGGAGTAATTTTATCTAAAATCTAAGAATATCCTGATCTACAAAATCAGACCTGGTTGAAATGTGAACCTGATTTAGGTCCCTGTGGGCAACATGCTTTGGAAATGTGGTTCAGGTAATTGAGGAATAATTTTGTCTAATATTAACTTAAAAATTTATCCTTGGTTCAGTTACTGGAAAACATTTATGTTTATTTAGAACGATTTAAGGATCTCTTCCCCCACCCCTGCCCTGGGTGGTACTGGGGTTTAAGCTCAGGGCCTCAATGCATGTTAGGCAAGAGCTCTACTGTTTGAGTCACACCTTCAGCCCTTTTTGCTCTGGTTATTTTGGAGTCAGGATTTTGCTGTTTGCTCAGGCCAGCTTGGATTGAAAGCCTCCTATTTTAGGCTTCCAACTGTGACTGGTATTACACGTACACACCACTAGCCTTTTTTTCCTTGAGATGAGGGTCTCAGGAACTTTCTGCTCAGGCAGGCTTGGAGCCACCATGTTCCCAATCTCAGCCTCCCAAATAGCTAGTATTTCAGACATGAGTCACTGATGCCTGGCTTGTATCTGCTTTTTCATCTGTAAAATTTTTGAACTTGAAATACATCCTCATCTTGCTAATCAGTCCAAGAGTGGTTTTCTGAGTGCCAGGTGCTGGCATCAGAGCCCAAGACAGTGCAGTCTCCACCTTCCTGGGCCTCATAGGATGGCAGGGAAGACTGACCCTACCAGCAAAGTGTTCTGAGTGCCTCATAAGAGAGGACAGGGACTCACAGGGTCAAAGTAGGGGGTCTTACCTGACAGGGAGGACAGAACTAATGCGGTCCTGCTGAATTCTGTGCACTGGGAAATCTTGGTTTTTGTTTTTGCAATACCAAAAGAATTTCCTACTCTAAACAATGATTTGCCTGATAGCATAGACCTAATTCATTCCCATTCAGGAAAACGAGCACCAACCAATGTATGATATGAAAAGTAAGGCAGCTCATCCTTAATAATTTAATTTTGTTGGCACTGCAGCAGTGATTTGAACTTCCTTGTGCTGTGTAACTTTCCAGTTCTTTACAATCAACAAGGTAGATGCTCAATTATCCCAAACAAAGAAAGGATTTATAACCAATGAGTTCTCAAGACAAAATTCTTATCCATTACTAACGACTCTATTCAAAATAACAAGGAAATATATAATCAAACTTGCATTATGGGAGATATATAAACCAACTTTTCTCTGCATCCTAAGACTTTCCAGCCACAGTACTATTTTTTCAATGTTGCTGATATTTCAATTTTAAAAGAGTCATTTATCAATGCAAAAATGTTACAGTACCTTTTGAATAGTTCTCTGATCTTGTTCTGAAGTCTCTTTCAGATTTATAATTTCATCTTCTGTAAACAAAAGGAGAGAGAGGCCAACCATGAAATTACATGCATATGCTCTGATTCAAACTGCCTGCTTTGGGGCAGACTGTGGAGCCACAGGCAGGCACAGTGGACGCAAGTCCTAGCAGGACTGTGACCTTCACAAATGCCCTTGACATTCACAGCCTTCTTCCTGCTGTTCTGATAGCTGGTCAGATAGGGATTAAGAAGTAAGTTCAAGATACAAGTGTGGCTGAGGGCTGAAAGCTTTTCATCAATACTAGCAGTGGACATTTTTGCTGTTAGTCACAGCCAATACAAAGTGCTTTAGCAGGTGGCATGTTATGACTCAATAAGAAAGACCATAACCTGAAAAAGCACTATACCACATCAGAACACAAAGGGAGCCACACTGGCATAGCATGATTTTATATTCAAGGGATGCTACAATATATCTCATTTTATCAGTGTTTCACTATCATTGTTTCATTCTTTGCTCATTGCCTTTCATGCTGCAGCTTAAGGGCAACATTGTATAATTAAAATAAGTACAAAGACAATAGTTAAGTGAAAAAGTACTTTAAAACATGTAACTTTAAATGCAACTTTTGCCAGTGCTTAAGGTATGAATTAAATGAGGTATAAAGTATACAAATGAAAGTTTGTATAGAAAATTAAAATTAAGTAAGTAGTAAGTACTAGTGCTTTTTTCCTGAAGGGCTGTTTCTCTACCAAGCATATGTAAGAGAATAGGCTGAGTGTTTAAATGTTATAGTTTAGATAACCAGCTAAGCATGTGAAATAAATCAGAAAATGTTTCTATTTATAATCTTTCTAAGTGAAGTAGAATACTGATTAGCACATTTTTTTTCTTTGCAAAGGCCACTGTTTGACTTAGAAAAAAACACCCTGAGCTGACAAGAGTACAACTACAGATAAACACTTTGCACCAGCAAGGAGAGCTATCTTAAAGGAAAAACAAAGACGGCTAGAAAATTGATCTTGTAAATGTAAATAACCAAATATACATGTGGAAAAGGGAAACATAGTAGTGAATTTTACAGATCAGCCAGTGTTTTTTTTTTTTAAAGATGATTTCAAAATGTTACCTAATAATGAATTTTCTTTTATACTGAGTTGGATTTCTTCCTCCAGTTCTGCAATGATTTGGAGCAGTTTCTCATTTTCCGGTTTGTAATCCACATGATCCTTCTCGAAGACTACTTTTGGAGAGCTGGGCTCTTTTTTAATAAAAGAGTCCTGAAAGATTGAGAATTCCATATTTCTAAGCAGGGAGCCAAGGATTTAAATATGCAAATACAAGAACAATTCAGATACAGAAGAGCTATCATATAATTTTCTGAATTCTATTACATACTTATAATATGAATAGCAAAAAAAGGAAGGAGACTAAATAGAGCTAGCTGGAAGAAAGACTGCAGTACATTCTGTACAAAGACCACAGCACATGGGGACATTTTATTGACAGGAATAATGCATATCATACTGTTTGTGTGCCCTCATCATTCAGGTCAATTCATTATGGAGACTGGGTCTGGGGAGGCAGCTGGGGCCCCTCCACCCATACTTCTCTCTGTGTGTCTAAAGTGCCATTGCCCGTCACTAGGCAGGCTGGGGAGACATGGACGGGCAGCGCCAGGGGGTGGCAAAGTGCAAAGCTAAGGAGGGGGCTTGTTGCCTTTGTGGCATGTCCCAGTGTCAGTGCTGCCAGTGTCGTGAGGAGCACATCACATGTCAAAGTGGTGACGTTTTCAGGCTGGGAGCCGCATGGAGGCCATCAGGCTCACGGATATCCACACAGTTGGTTTTCTCCTTGGTGGAGGAGCCACCCAGAGGCAATTCATATTCTGAACATTAACGTGGCTTTCCATGCTTGTCACACGGGGACTGTGCAGGCGGTTAACGCTATTGAAGGCCTCGGTTTAAATCTCTATGCAAACAGTGATTACCTTGTAAGACGGTTTCAGGATAACTTACAACAAAAGACTTTAAAGTTATAGTTTTCGTAAAGCAAACTCATTTACATTTTTATTATGTGCCCCTTTTGTTTAAATCCTCCACGTCCATTATGGGAGAAGCTTTTTCTTACGCAATTGCTGCTTATTGGAACAGCTACTCTTGTTTTTTTTCTTCTTGCCTGTTTCAAAGCTATTGAAAACATCTGAACATATTCCCTTATGGTTGTCTAAATCTTACTGCCACACATTTTTTGTTGTTTAAAAAATTAAGATGTAATGGATTGGGTAGGTTGGTGTAGAAGTTCAGACTTCATTATGACAAAATATTAAATGGATTATGCAATCTCAAAATAAGAGTGATATTATTCCTAAAGAGGCAGAGAACTATACATGCCTTGCTTTAAAATTAGTACAGCTAAAATTTCTTTTGAACTTTAATCTTCAGTTGAATTTCAATATAGTCCCTTTATAATAATTCCATGATTACAAATAAATAAGAATAAAATATCTCCTCAAGTGACTTACTAATGAAATATGTTCATATTTTCAGATGTAGTATTTAAAATATGTTGAGTTTTGTAGTAAGCTCAGTTACAAATCTTCAAGATTTTAGAACATATTCAAGATTTTGATCCATCATTCCATTTAAATGATCTAAGCCCAACACATTTGTTTTCGGTTGTTGTCAAGACAGTAGTATGTACCCCAGGTCAGCCTGAACTCATGGTCCTCCTAACTCAGCCTCCAAAGAACTGGGATTCCAACTAACTCTTAACTAATGAGTACTACATAGTGTAATAGTATTTAATAAGCAGCATGTTTTTCTTAATAAAGAATCCTAGTCATTCATTTCTGGTCCCACATAGTTCAATTTGAACTCTCACAGAATATAGTTACAGACAAATAGGATCTTTTAAATAAATAAACTATACTGGCCTAAACAGGCTTAAGTGTACATTTTCTAACAGTGACAGACAATGAACATCTGTGGTGGGTTACATGAGTGCCCATTATTGTAAACTAAAGAACAATTTGAACCAATCAAATGAAGTGTAAAATGTTTTCTAAGAATCTCTGTGTATGAAAGTAAGACCTAAGGAAAACATTAACTCTGAGGGGCTTCCTCCACTTACCAATCTACAGCCCTGCTTCTTGTGAGTTTAGCCTTTAGCTCTGTCCCCACCATCTGTTAACTGTAGGAACTGCAAGTAATTAACTATTCAGTGGCCCACAGCCTTGAGGACACTCATTAGCAAAATGAACAAAGGCATAGTTCTGGGCTGCTACTGTCCTCTGCTACACTCTGAGTGGCAGGTTTTGTGGTGCAGTTTCTTCCGCCATCTGCCCACATTGCTAGTTTTGGTTTGCTTAAACCATGAGACTCCTTTAAAATAAACAACATTAATAAAACACATTTAAGAAAGATGGAGATCATTAAAAGGCTGTTAACTGGGTGTAACTATTTAAAGCTACATTACACTCTTAAGGGAGAGATTGTGCATGATCCATGATTATTCAGGAATTTAAAATTTATAAAGGAATTTGAAACTCCAGTTTTTCTATCATACTATGAAAACCAGGACTTCAGGGGGTGATACATACACTATTTCTCTATTCACAAGATGCACCAAATTACTGTTTCCAGGTTGCAGAATCCCAAACTCAATCTTGAAAGAACTGTTCTTAAAAACAGAATAAGTGAGAACCCGCAGAACCTCAGCAGCCTGGGAGCCTAGTAGAAACGCAGAAGCTGAGGCTTCCATCCAGATCTCCTGTCAGTCTGTATCTAAACAAGATCTGCAGGTGATTCGTAGGAACAGTGAAGTCTGAGAAGTCCCATTCAGAGCACTTTCCACCCCGTGACGCTTGCTTCTCAATACTGCAGGCTCTGTGGACAGTGCTTGGACATCTCAATTTGAGGCTGGGGGAGGAATGGGGTTCTGAGGCATGCCATGTTTCATGACAGTCACGGAGAGGAGCAGGTGCTTCCCCAGTGAGTGACAACCAGGAAAGTGGCTCCCTGGGACAGCGCAGCCCTGCAGAGCTGCCTCTCTTGAATGATGGCTCTGTTTCAGAATTGTCGGCCACAAGGAGATCTGTTCACCAGTGGAGGGTAAGCAGGCAGGGGTCGCACAGAGCATGAAGAGTTTATCCAACACAGCAACCCTAGCTGAAATGCAACTTCACACATGGGTGCATGCACACACACACAGATGCACACGTGCATATATGCACACGCACACAGGCACACACACACTCCGACAGGCTAACCTACTTTAAAAATTCTCAAGGGGATTAGCCAACAGACAGTATGGCAGCCTGATAATGACAATGATAGGCTGTTAAGTGACGTTGGTTCCCACAGAATGAAGAATGTAAATCTCATTCATTGAATGAAAGTTGTTCTCAGGAAACTCCAACATCAAGGATGCTTTCCTCTAGAGATGAGGCTTCTGTAGCTTGAAGAGTTTCCTTTTCTGATTTCCGTTTTGTCATAAAATAAGTTAAATGGCTGTTTATTGAACTTGCCTTTTCCTAGTACATTCTTATCAGATTTCTCTCAGAAACAACCCAGGAGAGATATTATGACTGCTTATTATGATAAAGCTACTTATATAATTTGATTATAAGTAAGAGTAAAGTAGATAGTTTTAGGTAAACCAAATAAAGTTTGTTTATTTTGAGTAATTTCTAAAGCTACTTTGAAATTTTTAGTTGCTCCTCCAAAGTCTGTATTCCAAATCAAATTGCAGATTAGAATGAAATAGTGTCTCTAGGGGATTTTTCTACCACTAGAGGGGGCAGTTGTATAAGATTAAATTTTAAATAAAACTTTACCATCTAGAAGAATGTTAGGTGAAAGTTTGTTCTTAGAAGATTTATAGAAGCATTTTCTATAGGTTGATTTGCTAAAATCCATGAACGCTTTTGTGCCATTCACCTCTATGTTCTTGAAATGTCTTTCTCAGCCAAGAGATCAGGGCCATGCATTTTGTTGGGATCACTATGAGAGAGCTATTCATGCCATTAATTAGAGTTTCTCCACGAATCTTATGGTGTTTATAGGAATTCTGACATGGTCTCCTTGGGGGCAGATTATCATGGAATAACCAATGTATTCCAGATACTATCCTGATCCAGAGAATAGACTGCTAACACCAGAATAGGGTACAGCCCCATTTGCTATCCTCACAAAGCTGCCTCCATTCTCATTCTTGCCCCAGAACATCCAGAGTGAGGAGAACATTTTGAGGTGTGAAGATTTCAAGGATGTAAGAGGATCCCTTGCTGAAGAGAAATAGTGTCAATGTGCAGAGACCTGTTCAGTACATTTTATAAAACATAAACCAGAGGGTCCTAAGGACTTCTGTATTTCTTCATAGTGACTAGAATTCAGATTCTAATCGTTCTTCAAAGAGCTCAAAACTTCTGGGTGCTGGTGACCCATGCCAGTAATCCTACTTACTCAGGCGGCAGACATTAAGAAGATCATGTTCAAAGCCAGTCCAGGAAAAAGTTTGAGAGACCCTATCTTGAAAAATCCTTCACAAAAATAGGGCTGATGGAGTGGCTCAAGGTGAAGGCCTTGAGTTCAAGCCCCAATACCACAAAAAACAAAATAAAACAAAACCTCAAAACCATTTTCATCCAATACAACGATAATCATAACAACACCACCTTAGCTAGAGTGAGGCAGGTTGCACTTGCATTTCACAAATGAGAAATAAATGCACCAAAATTACCTTGCCACATCTGTGCCAAATATCTTTGGTCAAGACAGAATTAAAAGCTGGTGCTTATAGCTTTTAGTCTTTTTTGTTATTTTCTCCAAAAAATGAGAGTAGATATAAAGCCAAGAAAATGTTAAAGAAAATTAAATGCAAAAATTGAATGCATATTCCTATTTCAAGGCAATCAGAATATAGAAAAATAATGCCTGATTTTATTAGGTCTACATTAATGGCACTTATACTACACTGGTTAGAAGGTTCTAACCAATAGTAATAATTCTAATACATTAACAAGCAAATACCCCTTTTTGCCAGCTAGTAAACAATGTCCTTTAGAATGGCTTGCTTTTTGTTTTTTATTATTCATATGTGCATACAATGCTTGGGTCATTTCTCCCCCCTGCCCCCACCCTCTCCCTTACCACCCACTCCACCCCCTCCTTCTCCTCCCCACCCCCTTGATACCTGGCAGAAACTATTTTGCCCTTATCTCTAATTTTGTTGTAGAGAGAGTATAAGCAATAATAGGAAGGAACAAGGGTTTTTGCTAGTTGAGATAAGGATAGCTATACAGGGAGTTGACTCACATTAATTTCCTGTGCATGTGTGTTACCTTCTAGGTTAATTCTTTTTGATCTCACCTTTTCTCTAGTTCCTGGTCCCCTTCTCCTATTGGCCTCAGTTGCTTTTAAGGTATCTGCTTTGGTTTCTCTGCGTTGAGGGCAACAAATGCTAGCTAATTTTTTAGGTGTCTTACCTATCCTCACCTCTCCCTTGTGTGCTCTCTCTTTTATCACGTGCTCAAAGTCCAATCCCATTGTTGTGTTTGCCCTTGATCTAATGTCCGCATATGAGGGAGAACATATGATTTTTGGTCTTTTGGGCCAAGCTAAGCTCACTCAGAATGATGTTCTCCAATTCCATCCATTTACCAGCGAATGATAACATTTCGCTCTTCTTCATGGCTGCATAAAATTCCATTGTGTATAGATACCACATTTTCTTGATCCATAAAATGGCTTGTTTTTTGACTCCTTATCTCTTACAAACTTAGAGTTGTAAATAAGAATACTAGTGTGGGATTTAGATAAATTATAGATTGCACTTAAAGTCACCTGCAACCCGTGTTTCTTCCTAGTGTTAAATTTTTGCTGTATGACTTCCCAGACTTTTCTTGTGCATATATATATATATATATATATATATATATATATATATATATATATATATAGTTAATAGTATGTCCATGTGTGTATATACACATGCATTAATATATTGAAACATTCTAATGATATAACATATATTATAATTATATAATTATTCATTATATATATCTATATCTATCTATCTATATACCCATTACAACCTTTAATTCTTACTGTATTAACATAAAGTGCTACCTCCTTATGAGGACTTTGGATTCAAGTCAACTTTGGTTCATGTGCCATCTTTACCATGAATTAGCTGTGTGTCCATGGGAAAGTTAGTTAACCACCCTGTTTCTGTTTCCTTATCAGTAAATTGAACTGTGAGAATAAGAAGAGATACCACTGAGGAAGCACCTGGTACCTGCTACATGGTTGAGCATCCTTGATCTGAAAATCTGAAATCTGAAATGCTCCAAAATCTAAAACATTTTGAACACCATTATGATGCCACAGATGGAAAATCCCACCCTGTGAAGTTTTGACTCATGCATAAAATTATTAAAAATCTTGTAAACAGTCATCTTGGGGCTATGTGTATATTTCTATGAAAGAGAAATGAATTTCTTGTTTACACTTGGGTTCTATCCCTAAAATATCTCAATATATGTTTGCAAATCTTCTAAAATCCAAAACAAAAATCTGAAATATGAAACACTTCTGGTCCCAAGCATTCTGGACAAGGGAGATTCAAACTGTAGTTGATAGTCAATAGACTTTTTTGTTTTGATTTTTGTATTTGAGACAGAGTCTTACTATGTGGCCCAAATTGGCCTAGAACTTGCTATGCAGTCCAGGATGGCCTCTCAATCCTCCTGCCTCCACTTTCAAGTGCTGGGATTACAGGCACGCACCACCATGCTTGACCTAATAGATTTTATCCATTGCAGGTGCTGGCATCTCTGCTAGCCTCTCTTAACCAAATAATCATCATCTTACTCTTAGAACCTAATAGTAAGAGCTGTCTGGCCCTGGACCATGTAGGTGACACAAGATGAAAAAGAATTCCCCTTCAGGACCCACACTTCCCAAAGCCCTTAAAATGTTTCCTCTGGGTCAGAAGTTTCTGCTTTCTTACCCTTTCCACCTTAAAGGACTGCTATCAGTCCTTTGTCTAAGCAGTACAGCAGCTCCTGGCTCCCACTACTACAGGGAGAATCAGGAGAGAAATCCTCAGGTTTTCCTTCTTAAGATTTTTATTTAAAGGTCACTCTGTTCCAAGTAGGCTTCTTGGAAACCTCTGACTTGGGAAGATTGACCTTGTGTCTTTTAAAGAATCTTGATAGCAAAAAAAAGAGTGGAAGATTTCAGAATTATAATAATCCATTTATGTGTTCTCCTAGAGTGAATAGTGTATTATAAGTAGAGTTACAAATAAAAATTGAAAACAGTGATGTTGCTCCTGCTTGTAATTATTATTATGCCTTTTCTAGGATATGACAATGAACAGTAAGTGTTACACTGACTTATATTGTGGAGAGATGTCTAAGAAACACCAATTGAATTTCCTTCCTTCTCAATCCAAGCTCTTAGCTGTCTATGATTTTATTTATATACTAAAATTAGTGACTCTTCACCTCGAAACTTACAATTTTTTGAAATCCGAGTTCTTCATATTGCTCGATTTCCTCTCTTAAGACCTTAAAAGTTTCTTCTTTCTCTTTCAGTTTTCTTGACAAAATACCCAATTTGATATTTGTTGCATCTTGCAAAGCAGCTTTTTCTTCTTCTATATCAAAATATTGCTGGGGAGAAAAGCAGCATCACAAATTAGACACTAGTATCAAACCACCAGAAACTTTTATTTTTAATTATGCTGCTGTCTTGTGAAGTTATACTATTTTTTGTGATTTGCACTTGACTTTTAGTAAATAAGTCTCTATAATACAGTACATGGTAGAGTATCAGGCAGAACAGCACAAGATTATCCTATAAAACACGAATCAAAGCATGATGTATTACTTTTGCCTTAACGGCCATGCAAATAATAACAGGAAATAAAAGGATGATAGAATAGGAGGTGCCCCACTGGAATCTGCCCACAGCAACAAGAATTTGGCAGCCACTCATAAACAGAAAAGCCTTGTGGGAGCTTTGTGACCTGGGTAGGAGGTTTCAGAATGCTGGTCAAGGCCAAGATCAAGGAGGATAGTTTTGAAAGAACAGGCCTATACCCAGGTGGCAGTCTCACCAACAACTATAACCAGCTACAGACCCAGAACTGACCTCATCCCACTGTGGACTTAGTTAGCACTTGTTTTGCCTTGATCCTACCACCAGAACCATATGCCAAGGGACACAAGAGGAGTCATGCTAACCCATGCCTCTGGTGACAGGTGCACTGGATTCAGTTATGACTGTGGATCCTAATCTGGCCCTGAAACTCAGCTAAAGTCTCTCTCAGCTGTGTTTGACAGCACTCTTGCTTTTCCCAGGGACCACTGGGAGCAATTACCAGCCATGCCCTTAGAGTCAGGTCACTGACTCCAGTCCCATAGCAAATCCTGAAGTGCCCTGTAATTTAGTTCTAGCTCCTTCCAGTTGTCATCTGACAGCATAGGTCTTGCCCACCCAGGGACCTTCTGGGAGCTACACTTGTCCATGCCCTCCAGAGGCAGGCCCACTGATCTCAATCCCTTTGCAGATCTTGAAGTTCTATCTGCAATACAGTTACCCCCAGCCTCAGTCGAGAGCATTCCTCCCCATCCCGAGATCTGTCAGGAGACAGGCCCATTCATGTCTCCACAGCAAGGCTGCCAACCAACCTGAAGCAGCTCTGTGACTCAGTTCCAGTCCTACTTAGCCTGGGACAGTCCTGTTTCCCCAGGAACCTAGCAGAAAGCAAGCTTACCTGTGTCCTTGGCACAGGTCTGAATCCCTCAGTCTCAGCTGTGGACCATGAAACACTCCTGCAGTTCAGCTCCAGTTCCTTTTGCCTATCGTCCAAGGCCAGTCCTGCCTGGCCAGGAACTCACATCCAGCGGCCCAGCAAGCTCCCTTGCAGGAACTTGGAGACAGCTGCACTCATATGAACACCCGGTAACAGATCTTCCATTTGTGAACCCAGCTGCAGAATTTAAAGCAAGCACTTTACCTAGCACCAGCCCTACAGACCAAAGTCTGGGAAGCATTACATCTTCTAGGGAAAGAGTCCAAACCTGCTGAAGTCCCTGGCAATAAACTAGTTCACCTTTGACTCTATTGAGGATGTGTGAGCAGTAGTCACTTGACCTCGCTGCAATTTCAGAGGCAATTCCATCAGCTCAGGGATGAAAAGGAGAAAGAATTTACCTTTACAACCAACCTGTGAAGATTTGTTAGAGGGTTTACTTCTTCAGATGCACAGACCCCAACATAAGGTTGTATAGATATAAAAACTATATAGATATATAGTTTAGATAGGAAACTAAAAACCCTTCTGTAACTGAACCTAAAGAATGGAGATATACAGATGACCTGGCAAACAATCCAAATAATCATCTTAAAGAAGCTCAGAATCCAGAAAAGAACTCAGACAATCAAACAAAATCAGGAAGACAATGAGTGAAAAAAAGTAGACATCTGCTAAAAAAACAGAAACCAGCTAAACAAATGCAGAGAGCCAAACAGAAATCCTGAGAAATGCAGTGAGAGTTTCAACAGCAGATTCACCATGCGGAGAAAACAAAAAGAATTAATGTGGTAATTTAAAATTAGCCAACTTTAGGAAGAAAAATATTAAAAGAGTGAAAAAGAAGAAAGCCTAAGGAACACCCTGAAATGACAAGGGTGGAGCGGTTTAAGTGGTAAGAGCACCTGCCTAGCAAGTGAGAGGCCCTGAGTTCAAACCCCCAGTATTAGAAAAAATACTTTTAACATTTTATCATTTTGACAAGTGCATTTGAACATGAAACTGATACAGATAGCTCTGAATTGAATTATCATCAATATTTGAGAAGGTAAAGAGGATAAACCAGAAATTCTTTTTTAAACACATAAAACCTACTACTACTTTCTACTTATAAAAAGATCAGTTGCCTCCTATAGAGACACCTGCACCCCATGTTTATCACGCACCACTCACAACAGCCAAATTATAGAATCAACCTAGATGTCCCTCAATAGATGAATGGATCAGGTGTGTGGTGTATATACAGTGTTTTATTCAGTCATTAAAAAGAATGAAATTACGTTGCTTGCTGGAAGATGGATGGAACTGAAGATCATTGCGAAATAAGTCAGACTAAGAAAGACAAGCCTCAGCCTCGTATGTTTTCGCAATTGTGGCAGCTAGGGGGAAACAAAACACAACACCCAAGGTCATGAAGGTAAAAGGAAGGTTGAGGGGGAAGGAGAAGGGAAAGAGACAAAGAAAGGGAGGATAAGAAATAGAGGAGAGAATATGATTGAAGTACATTATATGCATGTGCAGAAGTGTCCAGATGAAACCTGTTAGTGTGTACAATTTAATATACACCAATTAAAAATTACATTAGCAAAAAAGGCCTCAGCCTCTGCAAAAAAAAAAAAAACACAAGAAATGGCTCATAATGACTTCCTTGAGGTTATCAAAGAAGAGGTTTGATGATCATTATTTAATGGTGAAGATGTCATGGGAAAATACTTGAAGCTGACTTACAACTATTTCCCCTTCTTCCAAAAAATGATAGTCAGGAAGTTTTCTCGGAAGGTAGAAAACTGTACAAAAATATTCTCTGGCTTTATGATGATACAATTGATGCCAGCTGTGCTTTAATATCACACATTTTTAAAAGGCCAATCACAATTGTCAAGTCCATATGATTGCATTTTCTTCTGTCCTGCATGATGGATTTTTTTTTTCAGCAATAGCTATTTTATCTGCTAATAATCTGTGTTAGTACTACAAGTTTAATGCTTACATTTCTATACCTTTATGTTTATAAAGTTTGTGTTTGAAACAGAGCATATACTTAGTTTATGATTTAAAAATCTATGAATCCTGACTACTTTAAAAATAAATATTATTGTCAATAGCATTTTGTCAATTTTATGAAAAATAAAGATTGGTGGTGTGTGCTTTTAGTCCCAGTTACATGAAAGGGATGAGGAAAGAGGATCACTTGAATCCAAGAGTTAGAGGTTAGCCTGGGCAACATGGTGAAAGCCTTTTGTGTGTGTTTGTGTACAGTACTGGGGTTTGGACTCAGGGCCTAAACCTTGAGCCATTCCATCAGTTCTTTTTTGTGCTGAGTTTTTTTAAGATAGGGTCTTACTATTTTCCTAGGCTGGATTTGAACCTTGATTCTCTTGATCTCTGCTTCCTGAGTGAGCCACTGGTGCCCAGCAAGCCTTTTTAATAAATAAAAAAACCCAAAACACAGCCAGAGGTTTGCTTTAGCAATTTCCTCTTGCTCCCTCATGACATATAACTAAACTAAGGAATGCTAGCTTTATTTATGTTCCCAGGATTTTCGGTTTCCTTAAAGTCATTAGGGAGACATTGGTGGGGCTTTGGCTATACATCTATCCCATATGTTAGGAGGACACTGACCAACAAGAGGATGCTTTAAGAAGAGTGTTGAGAGGCTGGTGGAGTGGCTCAAGTGGTAGAGCACCTGCCCAGCAAGCATGAAGCCCTGAGTTGAACCCCCAAAAGTACCACCAAAAGTAAAACGTTGGGGAGTCTGGAATTCTCATATAAGGAGCAGTTAAGGAATTGGTAGCTCAGCCAGAAAGGGAGAAGACATATGAATGGCAGTGTTCTTCAAATATCGAGTGATGACATGTGAAAGAATACCAGTTACAGTTGAACCAAAACTTAGATCTGAAAACTTGCCTTTTTTTTTTCTCTAATCCATCAGGATTTAGCTCCACTCCTTTTACTGAAAAATAGCGAATATGATGAGGTACGTGGAGAACTTTGCACATGTCTGGGCCATAGTAAATAGTTCAACAAGTGATAATGACTTTTGCTATCGTTAACTGTCTGCCAGGGGAAGAGGAGGAAATGTGTCCAAGCACTGTCACTCATGTGTCTCTAACTAATGCCCTGCCACTGATGCCACCCAAGAGAAAAAGAGGAACTGGAGGTATAGGTGTGTGCTAGGTCCTAGTGGTCCAGGTCCTAGGTTCTCTCTACACCTCTGTATCATTTTTGCAATATTAATTTTATTTTATTATCTTAATATTTTATTTTGTTATGTTTGCAGTACTGGGGATTGAACTCAGGGATTCCTGCTTGCTAGCAAGCACTCTACCATGCCCTGAGCCCTTTTTGCTTTAGTTTATTTTTCAGATAGGGTCTTGTGCCTTTGCCTGGGGCCAGTCTTGGACCTCTGTCTCTTGAGTAGCTGAGATTTCAGACGCACACCACACCTGTTCCCCTGCTCTTTTTCAGTTTAAAAATCTGCCTCTCCAACCCCCTCTCCTCTTCTAAATTTCCCCCCAACAGACAGTTCCAATGAGGATCCGTTTGCTTTCTAGCTTTTTTTCCACACACAAAAACCCAAAAAACAAAGTAAAAGAGCACAGACCAAGGAGATAAATTCCTGGCCCTCTGAACAGCATTTGCATTAACGAAGGAGAAGGTGGTTAGATTTCAAGTACTCTGGGGCCATGAGAGCATCTGATCCTTTTGAACAATGGTGTATATCTTCCTCCCCCTTCCTATATCATCCACAGAAACTTCTTGTATACTAAAAGCCAGGCAAAGACAAATCTGCAAATATTTATTTTTGCAGCACTAGGGTTTAAACTCACATTTACTAGGCAGGCACTCTTACTG